ATGACTTGAGGGTGAGTAATTTATGGGCTAATTTTCATTTTTGGGTGAACTAACCCTTTAAGATATTTTTGATCAAATCCGAGAGCTCTCTGACCCTCCCATAGACAGCAAGGTTACTACCACGATCAAGTAAGGACATTGGTAAAATAGTCCATGTGACATCAGTCGTTCAACCGTAATTTTACGAAGCTATGAGAATACTTTTTGTGCGCAAAGAAAACAAAAATAATGAGTTTATTCAACAATTCTTCTTCTCATCCTGTATGCTGTGGCACGCCGCCAATGTGGAGACAATATCACGACACATTTTGCCATCCGGATCTCTGATCCACTGCGCAGCCTCGCAGAAATACGACCCAGAATCCTCGGGTGCCAGAGCGCTCATCTTCAGTACGTACAGATCCCGGCCTCCGTCCCCTTTCCGCTTCTCCACAGCAATCTCTCCTTCCCCGTATCTCTTCCCGTAGGCGCCGCTGCGGCCCGGTGTCACGCGCAGCTCGCGGTCGATGCCAATGATCTCTCGGAGGTTGTGACCCTGAGACTCCGGGCCCCTGCTGCTGCGCACGCCGAATGTGACGGACACATGAGTGTGCTGATCCGATTGGACGGACGCGGCGCACGTCAGCTGAAGCTCCGTGCCTTCGATAACGGGTTGGCCGCTCAGAATGCGAGAGTGTGTTATGAGCAGCGTGTCGGGAATCACTGCGGAAATAAAGCACAAAATGCTTTCAATTCATATTTATATATAAGAATATGTTTCTTAAAAACCATTCAGAAAAATTTACTTTTTGCCCATTTTGATGACATGACTCAATAGGTTATGCAAAATATTAAACGGTAAAATCCCAAGAAAATGACATAATATGCATGATTAAAAAAACACATTATAGTTATTTTTTTATATATATATATATATATAGAGAGAGAGAGTAAATAATTTGTATTCATGTTGCTTTCATATGGTTTCAAAACTTTCATACCATTTTTATATAAAGCTATGAGAATACTTTTTGTGCGCAAAGAAAACAAAAATAATGAGTTTATTCAACAATTCTTCTTCTCATCCTGTATGCTGTGGCACGCCGCCAATGTGGAGACAATATCACGACACATGCGCTAGCTTCGGCTTCATGTAAACGACGCATGCGCATGGCATAGCACAGCATAAGGGATGAGGAGGAGAAGAATTGTTGAATAAAGTCATTATTTTTGTTTTCTTTGCGCACAGAAAGTATTCTCTTAGCTTCGTAAAATTACGGTTGAACCCCTGATGTCACATGGATTATTTTACCGATCTCCTTGCTACGTTTCTGGGCTTTGATCATGGTAGTAACCTTGCTGTCTATGGGAGAGTCAGAAAGCTTATTGGATTTGGTCAAAAATATCTTAATTTGTGTTCCGAAGATGAACGAAGATCTTATGGGTTTGTAACGACAAGAGGGTGAGTAATTAATGACAGAATTTTCATTTTTGGGTAAACTATCCCTTTAAGACTATTTAAGACCTGCAGAAACCCCTAATAAGAATTTCCCACATGCATTTGAAACACAATTTATTTTAATAACTTTCATCATCATCAACCAATCTGTCATTTTTTCTGATTTACCACCTACCTTTGACCACCACTGATGAGCTGTAGTTCCCTAGGAAGCGGGAGTCAGTGCTGGGCGTGTAACACTCGTAACGGCCCTGATCGTCTGAACGGAGCCTCTGGATGATCAGTCTGGCTTTGTCGCCCGAATCCCTCTCGACTCGAACCTCGCCGGCCTGCACGCGACCCTGGAACGGCGCATACGGAAAGCCTGCGTCCCGTGTGGACACCACACCGATCTGCCGACCCTCAGCATCCTCCCGGTACAGATACCACTCAAAATCCTGCATCCGTGGACCTTCGTATCCCGAAACGGCGCAGGGCAGGGACAGCGAGAAACCTGCGACCCGATACAGCGGCCCGGCGGGAAGAGTGACCTCACGGCACACGCAGCACTGCAACTCTAACACACAAACAGAACGAATGTTAATCAGTCTGAAGGTTAACCACAGGGATCAATACATGCAAAGCGGTTTTCCGAGTGAGGTCGATCAATTAGCTCACACTGCACAATATTTACACTCAAATAATCTAATTTAAATGGGAATATTGCACAAAAAATTCTAATTAAATTTAATCTATTCCACACCTACTAAAGCACATGTGACGCTTGTGGTGTTTTCAAGCATCTGTAGTCTCAATATATGAGGACACGAACACACAAAATGATTCACACACACAATGATTGTTCATAATGTACATGTACAAGTGTTTCTTCACCTATGCCGCTTTTAGAAACTAAACTACATATCTTCTAGTTAGTATGTGATGCATTCTAAATACAATCTTGAAAAAATATTTTAACATTTTCTGCATACTTGCACCAAATTACAGCTTGATTGGAAACAGTACACAATAAAAATACTGATATTTACCTTGATTTTTCTTCATATTTTATCTCAATCTCCTCTCTGACACCTCTCAGAAACTAGTTTTAGAAAATAAAATCTTTAATAGGCCAGAATGGTTGGTTGTGATAAAAATTATGCAATTTGCTATTTTTATAATTAATATAAAGATGTATTTTCTACAATTCAATCTGAACTGATATACGTTTTATATGTAGTGGTATGTGGCGTGTCATGTTGGTCATGGTTTTTATCTGGTATATGTGTAAAGCACTTCAACTTTGGTTGTTTTATTGGTGCTATTATAAATAAATATAATTTTTATACAGTAGAATCAACACATGCAAAGCAGTTTTCTGAGTGAGATCAATAAATTAGCAAACTACACAATATTCCCACTTAAATGAGGGCACCGTCAAATACGCCCCATATTCCCAGGACAGGGCGTATGTATTGTTTATTCATGCCCACCCTTTGTTTGAGCATGTTGTAATGTATCTCTGAATGAAAGGGTCAGAGTAATGAACACTAATGCCATTCTGCCAGTCTACGCCCATGTTTTACAACCTGTGAGCTCACAGCTGAACCCATCGTTTTCATAGGGCGAGTCATTTTGCAGACCTGTCTGAGGGTTATTTGCATACATCCTCATTCTGCTAAAGGAACCAGAAATAAACCAGACACTCTTAACCATATTAAGCTATTGCATTACATTTCATACATGAACTTCTAAGACCTTTAAATGGTCGACATGATCCAACTTTGCTGTTAAACCTGTTGCACTCAATCTACTCCATGTCTTCTGTCGACTCGTCTGACTGATAATTTTTTATCAAGTCAAAGCTCTTGTGTAAGCTCTTTCAGCTTGTGCTTCACGTGTCTTTTTGCTGTCAAATCTTGACTGATTTTATTCAAGTAAACGTCAGAATAACTGCAGTCATATTTCCAGATGAACTCTTACTGGACTGAAGCAGCTCAGCTTTACTTGATTCTCCATCAATCATTTTGTAGAGTCTCAAATCTGATCCTCAGGATCTTTTGAGGAGCGTTTGTTTCCAGAAGCTTTACTTTCACTGTTCCTCAGCGGAGGAATGATCTTCACAAGCCTCCAGAACATCTCACATCTCCTGAGGAGCCTTTATTTCTTCATCTCTCAATCAGCATTGCATTAGATCATTTGAATCTCATCTTACTAAGACATATTATTGGAGATATAGCGTGACGACTGATATTTAGATAATTTTATGTCAGTATCTGCTGCTGTATTGTTACTTCTGTCGAATCGCGATCTCGATTCCATTTCGATTTATCGTGCAGCCCTATTATAAAAATCTCATTGATTTACATTACAAGCAGCAGAATTTCATCATATAAATATCAGCATCTGTTGCAAATTTAAGCAAGGTTAAATAACAGCTGAAGCATTTCTTCACTCATTTTCTCCCCCCAAAAAATGTTTATTTGAAATATTTATGCTGAACTAATTCAATAAAATAGGGCAATTTCAGAGGTAAATTTGGGTTTGACATGCACTAGGTAGCAAGAGTTAAACTTCTGAATCCAATGCAAAACCCTTCCCACAGTTAGCGAGCTGTCTGGGTGACTCAGTGTTTGACTGGTGATTGTGAATATGCAGATATGTAAACAAGATCAGATAAACTAAGCTATTGTAAAGCGGTTGAGTGTTGACATAAGCATGATGTCACCTCTCCTGTTTAACCACAACATTTACCACAACCTGACAAACAAGACAGGTGTTGACAGGTTTCCAAATCACAAACATTTACCACTGTGTAAACGGTTTCGCCCCAAAATACCATAGTACTCAATGCAGGACAGGACACATCTGACAGTGCTTGACATGTTACTACAACTAGTAAGACTCCAAATCCAATTGCTATTTAAAGGAGAGCGCATTTTTATTAAGCAAGAAATCTTTCTGTCATTCTCATTTCTTTTAAAGATGTATTTCTGGCTTATTGTTACGACAGTAACTAACAATGACTGTATTTTGGTGGAAACTACGGTCATTTCTGTAAGTGTTCTCTGGCTCTTCTGGCAGGTCAGTCTAGTTTCGGTGACTCATGGGAAGTGACCACACACACACACACACACCAGATAATGACCAGACAACAGAAGCTGTAAGCGGATCAGACGCGTAATTAAAGCGCAACCAGAGCAGCAGGCCAGTGGAAATCCTGCACAGCATATACGTACATTGATGTCAGTATTACACCGTGTGGAAATGAAAGGATCGCTGTACTGTATAAAAGTACTGTGCTATCCTGTTGCTCAAACACTAGCAAAGCCAAAGGTCATAGGTTTGATTCCTAGGCAAAGCAAAGAAAGAACTGGTAGTACCTTAAATGCAATATAAGTCACTTTGGATAAAAGCATCTCCCAAATGCATAATATAATAAATCATTGTATAAAGCTCCTGTGACAATGCCAACATGAAGTAAAGGGTCAAATAAGGACCATAACATAGTTTACATCTTTCAAATATTGGTAATAAAATTAAACTAGACACAGGATCAATGAATTGTACACAAAACCACTCTATCAGATGATAATAATACCAAAGTACATTGATATATATGGCACCAAATGACCAAAGCACAATGTATTTACATGGTACACCAAGGTACTTCCTTAAAATATATTCCAGTAGAGTATGGTGCTTGCAACAACAAGGTTGTGGGTTCGATTCCCAATGAATGCATGAACTGATTAAAATAGATATTGTATGAAATATTTGGATAAAAGCGTCTGCCAAACGTATAAATGTCAAATAAACATGGTATTTCCACGGTACTATTTTATAAGTATGGTACTCTCGTGATATCCAAAAACATTGAAATATAGCTTTGAATGATTACCATATTCCTATACAATGGTATGTACATGCTACTCCAAGGAATACTACCATAGACAACATGGTATTACCGTGTTACTTTGATACATATACCACTAACTACGTACTACAGCTTAATATTTACATAAAACTGTAATATTAGTAGGCTACGTGAATATTACACTATGGTATAGCGTTATAAATGGCATTATTGTACCATCTCCAAAAAAAAACATGGTAGTACAATATTACCTCAGTGTTATTGGAGGATTGACGTGGATTATATGGAGCAGATGGACATTAAACATGAGCAGGTTGAACTCACCCCACAGTAAAGCGACGAACGCGATCCACCGCGATGCCATTCCGCGCTGATCTCCACGACACACTGGCGTTTACACCGTTTTACTATAGTAAAGACACATGCTAGCGTGCTGTCCTCGGGCTGGTGCTGAAATCAAACATTCATTTAGTCACGACTGACTAGCCAAACAAACACGCGCGAGCTTCTGCTTTTTCCCGCGGATTATGTCCCAAAGAGCGCGTGTCATAAACCAGCACTGCAATTGCGCAAACGGTTCGGTGTTCCGTTCGTTATCGCTCATTTACGCCTCATTTTTCCCTCGCGATCACATCGTCCGAACGATTCGTACATAAATCAGGCGGTCGACTAAAAGTAGTGCGTGACGTCACGGGCAAACAGACGGACGCTCACCGTCCAATGAGGTGACGCAGCGCAGACGAACACAGCCAATGGGAGGCCACTGCGATGTGACGTTTGAATCGGTTTTAACGTCTGTTTAAATCGATGTTTGAATGTAGGCCAGCACTTTCACCGTCGCGAAAAAATGTAATGCTAACAGGGTTTCCATTGAAACTAATTATTTAATTATATTAATTCCCAGTTGTTTATTTACTAAGTTACTTGTATTTAACATAACTTTCTTGTATCCCTCTTCCCTAGTTTCCTTAATTTCTTTATTTACTTAACCGTATTTAGTTACTACTTTCTCTACCGTACTTACCTAATATTCAATATATTATATATGTTAAATAATGATGTCAATACAGTTTTGTTGACTCTTGACTATTTCATTCCTCCAGGGGGTGCTCGACGCCGCCACATTAAAATCAAAACAATAATTTACACCTAAACAATGAGAAACTTTTCTGGACTGATTTATTTATTTACCGTGAGGCTGTTGAATGCTTTATTCTGATTCAATTAAACTGAATATATTTATTAATTTTACCTGAGCAATAAATAGAACATTTGGGCCTCAAAATTCAATGAATAATCTGTTTTAATCACCACATAAAAGAAAATTGCTGCTCAGTATAAAACCTTTGATTTGGATGCTTTATTCACAGGATTTCGTTAGACAATTTTAGAGACCAGATCATCATCATAATCATCATTAGTATCTTAGCAATATCAACTTCACGACAATTCAAGTTATATACTTGACATTTAATTCCAATATATTATTTTACATGTGTATTTGTTCTGTCACTTTTGATAAACCCAGCTGCTTACCAAATACACATCTATGGCTCTATCTAGTGGAGAAACAATTATTTGCTCATTAACAGACAAAAATTCAACCTCTGCTTTGTATAGTTTACAAAAGTGTCTCTGCCTAGTGTTATTAAATTAGTGGTTTAAATGTTTTGACTAAAACCTAATGTGTGAATAGCCTAATGAAGTTTGCTGAACCCACGTAAAGCTCATATATATTGTTCAGAATTAGTGTTAGTTATTTTAACACATATTAAACAAAAAAAAAATCACTTTGCACCGATGGAAAAGGCATAACAACCATAGATATGTATATATAACGTTACATATCTATGGTAACAACAACCATCCTAGCCATATCACAGAAACTTACATTGGGTCGTTTAAAAAAGGTAAGCAACCAATCAGAACACCTCAACAGCCGCATGGCAACGCGCGAAAACCAATCAGAACAGCTCAACAACTGCATAGCAACGCACGAAAACCAATCAGAAGAGCTCAACAACTGCATAGCAACGCACTAAATGCCCTCCAGCAAAAACATTAGCAAAATCTTATCCAATCACAACAACGCCCTTTAGCACAAAAAAACAGATTTTCTTCAGGAAATGCACATTATATATTTTTATTGTTTATTTTAGATATGTAGATATGATACAGTTTTTGTTGTTTCTTTCATTCTTTATGTGCAGCTCTCACATCTCCTCAGTGGGGCAGCATTGTGTTTCATCTTGACCTGCCCTCATTTAAAAAAACTAACTTTTTATTATTGGCCATTATTTTAATCTCACTACAACATAGTACACACATAGACATAAACATCTTCTCTGCTTAATTAAATATTTACACAGAGTAAAAATTTAATTAAACACATCATAACAATCCCTTTTGTCGACTACAATGAATCCCCAGTCAGCGTTCCACACAATGAAGTTATAATATGTGTTGGAGCAGAAAAATGCATTTGAAATGATAACATTTCTATGTATAAATAAATCTTTGGCTGTAGCAGTGCCATACCGTCTCATTTATCAAGCTTTAATCTGAGCATTTGATGAGCTGTTCACTGCCGTCTGAATTATTAATGTAATTGCCATTGCTGAATGACTTTACTATGAACCACCACTGCAGGCAATTTATTTAATCAAATCTATATGCTGTGTTTCCTTTTTTGTGTGTGTTTTGATCCCGGCTCTTGCGGCGGGCCGCTCTGTGGTGAGGCGCGGGCTGGAGTGGCGCTGCTGTGTTATTTTTGGCGGCAGCGGCGGTTGGTGGCTCTAGAGACGGAGTGGAGCGTTCCGGATCCAAACCCAGGCTGTTGAAGGGAATTCTCATCTGTAATGATCAGCGTCATTATGGGCTCACACTAACTGCAGGACGAGCCGCGCGTTAATTTCAGTGCGTCCCTCAACAACACGTCGCCCCTTCATACATGCATCTTGACATGCATCATGCTACATGAATGCAAGAGACCAAACCTTCTTCTTCTCCTTCTTCTTCTTAAAGAAGAAACGAAACACCATTTTAGACTGGGTGGAACTGAAATATTTCACTGGCCTATAGTGTTATTTTAGTACCACTGATATACTATTTAAGGTTTTATGTATATATTTAGCCTAGTTTCCATTTGAATTTTAGTTTGAGTAATTTTGCTGTTTTTGTCTTTTTATTAGCTTTTGCTTTTTAAAATGTGTTTTTTATTAATTTTAATATGTTATGTTACTATTTCAAGTTAAACTGAGCAAAAACGTTGGATTGATAACTTGCTGAAATAAAATAAGTGAAATAGGTTGTATTTTAATTTTATTTCAGTTAATGTTTATTTATTTCAGGTAACAATGTAAAAGTAACAAAGTAAAACTTTTTTTTTTATGGTTCTACACGGTAAAAAAAAAAAAAAAAAAAATATATATAAATATTTCAAAGTTGTAAACAAAATAAAGATACTATACTATTTCAGTTTTTCTCATGTTTAATTCAATGCGTTACGTGCCGTTTTTTTGTAATTGTGAAATTTACTTGTGCTTTCTGAGTGAAAATTACTTCTACACCAAGTTTTTTTTCACTATTTGGAGAAATAGTGGTTTTAATTAAGACTTCATAATACTAAACATTAAAACGTTCTTTATGTTTTACGTATCTTCTTGTATGTACCTTCAGTGACCCACAAGACTGGATCCATGGTTGAAAACCCTAGTCTTATTCAATTACATTAATCAGACGTTCGAGCTATTTTTCATATCATAAAAAATGTAAAACAATACTATACTATTTTTTTTTAAATAAATGTAAAAGCAGTGGCATGTTTTGTTGTTTTTATTATACTCATCCCTTTTATTTAACCATTTGCATAATTTAAATGATGTCAACTTATATAATAAAACACAAAAGATAAGTTCTCCAAATGTGTGCTCAGTGTCTCTGCCCTGTCAAGCGTTACGCCTCGTGTTGTGATTGTTGAACTAGAACAGTTTAACAGACTGAATGAAGATTGTCTCCACTGCTATCCTCGTATATTTTTGCAGTAAAAGTTTGCTTTAAGTTACCGGCGCTCAAATAAACACACTTCCGCCCGGCGTAACGCGGCGCACACTAGGTCAAGCGTTGCAGTTGTTTAAAGTCAGTCTTCCTATTAGAAGCCAAACCGGTTTGTGCAGCGTTGAGCATTTTTCGTACTCCCATTACGTGCTGTAACATCATGTTAAAATGTCTCTCTAACCACTCTTGGCATTAAAATAGAGAATGAGATGATTTCAGTTTATGCATTTATTTTTGGTGGTGAGCGCGGGCAAATGCATGCAAAGTCTGTGTGCTTGTGTGTGCGTGCAACAGCGTGCATGATGCCAAACAGTTGTGTCTGAGTGCGCGGCTGCGCGCATGCATGTGTGTATCGGGTTATACATCGTTGTGCATGATGTGTTTGTGTGGAAACCCACAAAGATATTTCAATTTCTGCTGGATATTAAAGAAGCATGCGGTGGCAGCGGCCCTCGGCCTGCCAGCGGGTGAGTTGAGGGGGGCGTTGTGGCCATGGGGGGGGCTCATGGTCAGGGCCCCTGCCGGACACACTGGCGCCTCTTTCTGGAGGACTTCAGAACCACCACACTCCTCCACCAGAACCCTGCCAACCCAAATCACTCACTTCAACATCCTTCCATCTCTCTCTCTCGCTCTCTCTCGCCCGCTCTAAAGCTATTTTCCTGTCAAATTTTAATTTCTCTGAACATTTGTTTATGCAGTTTTCAAAAGTCTTCTTCTAATACTTTGGGGCTGCATTTTAAAAGCAACCCAATGCTGCATTTAAAAATTGGTTGTACAATTATAATGTTGCCCCACTGTTTTATAAATGATGTAGAGATAGAAATGCTGAGACAAAAGAAACTGCAAGGGTACATAATTGAGGATATATGTTATTTTAGGGCATTAGAACATGACAGTTATACTGACATCACGCCGATATACTGTAGCAAACAACAAACAAAATTAAACTTTAATATAATTAATACTGTGCCTAAATGGCTGACAGTAGTGGGATATGTTTTTTCTCTTGTTTTCATTACTGCTACTATTCATTATTATTATAAGTTATAATAGTAATTCAAATCCAGTAACTATTTTAGTTTATACTTGCCTGAGTGAATATTTACAAGCTTGCAATCCGTCCAATAATAGTTTATCTTGTATGCATTTATTCCGAAGCAAATGGAATAAAAAAATAAAAAAGATAAATGCAACTTTATATCTCACAATTCAGATTTTTTTTCTCACAATTTGGAATTTTTGTGCAAAAAATTGTGAGAAAAAAGTTGTAATTGTGAGATATTAACTCGCATTTATCTTTATAATATAAATAATAAACTATTTTGAATTCTGACTTTTTCCTCGCAATTCTGTTTTTTGTTTCTGCCACGTAATAAAAAATAAAGATAATTGAGGCTTTTTCTCACAATTCAGACTTTTCTTCTCATAATTGTGAGTTTATATCGCAATTGTGATTTTTTTTCTCAAGTCAGAATTGTGAGATATAAACTCACAATTGTAAGAAAAAGTCTGAACTGTGAGATAAAAAAATTGCAATTACCATTTTTATGTTTTATTCTGTGGCAGAAACAAGCTTCTGTAGTTTTTAAATGTTTTATTTATCACAGTAGTTCTTCGTTTTGCATTCGTTTGCTC